TTGAAGAGAATTCAGCGTCCTAATAACCAATAAACTTTAGAATATCGCCGAGAAGTAGTTGTAGTAGACGGAAAATTATAGTAATTAGAGGGATAGACAGACACAATAATTTCATTTATTTTAATAAACTAGCAAAATGTATTAATAAATTAATAAAGAAAATATACGACCAAAACAATAGATTTTTCTGACACTGAAAAATTCAATTAGAATAAAAATCTCCAGCTGCGAAGAGAATTTGGAAAACACAACAGAGCGCAATATAATAAATTTCAGAACCCTCTATCAAAATGTAAGAGTGCTGCAAATCCTTACAGGAAACATAATATTATAAGACGTTTTTTCATATATTCTTTTAATATTCACAGTATAAGATAAGCTTTATTGATAAAAGCAGGGGTTCGCAACGTTTTATATTTTTTGACGTCTTTATGTAATTTCATAAAATAATTTTGATAAACATTCTCTTTCTCTTACTTATTTTACATTACTCGCTTCATTTTGGTAATCGAATAATTTCAGACTTCGAAAAAAAGTATTTCTTATTCATTATAATATCTGTTTTTTAATCTTTTACTTGTACTTTGTAATATTTATATTTTCCACATAGAAAAATAATCTTAAACAGATATTTCTCAAAATAAGAGTGTTTAAGAAATTTTAAGTTTCACTGTCATATATACCACTAGAAGACCCGGCGAACTTCGTTTCGCCCTATAATCAAGAAATATCTGTTACGTTTTTTTATTTATATTTTTGGAGTTTACCTATTAAAGCCATAAATCTCCATGTTTTGAAGTGATTAGGAATGATTAATAGTTAATATGAGAGTTACACTGAGCTAGCAAAATAATAATTGTCAACGTTACTACTACACTTGATGCACAAACAATAACGATGGCCGACAACTGTGTAGGGAGTGAGAGAAGTCTAATTGTGTGAGAGAAACAGAAGACCGGCTTCGTTCTCATCCCTACTCCGTGCTGTTTACTGGGTCAGAAGTGACACCTGTAGATATCTGGCGGGCAGTGGCGGCTGGTGGGTTATCGAACTGGTGGTTCACTTTACTAAAATATTGACAAAAACAACAATTGACATAAAATATGTTTATTTTTTGTACATTAAATCAATGCGACGACATTTTTCTGTAGCGAAATGTTCTATCACCTTTTTATTAAAATCTGATTCCAGTTTCTGTCCAAATCGATTCTCCGCCAAAAATAATGCAAGGAAAACAAAAGAATGCATTAAGACGCTCACATCCACACAACCATTTCTTTCTATTATACATTTCACTTTTAAAACTTCGTATAAATGCTTTATTTTTCGATTTACACTCTTGTTTTAAATTTAAAAAGGGCCGTGGCGGCCCGGCCAATTTTATGTTCACTTTACTTTGAAAAATTTTGTTATTTTCTTTAATATAATCAATATTTATACTCATTTTCAACTAATAAAAAACACAGTACAGAATAAAAGTTCTATTATAGAAACGAAATAAAAACTAAAACGAATTACGGAAATAATTATAAACAATAACGAATTAACGCGTCACGCATACAGTGAAAGTTGAAACAATACCAATAACGATTAACGAAATGTCAATCATAGCACCCATCCTTTCGGCCGGCCCCTTGCCGGCCGGCTCAATACGTCATACATCGGGTGCTCTCGGTAATCTTCGGCCGCATCGTGCGGCGCGCGAGAACCGACTCTTTACTCGGTACATTTCTATGAACTATCTTTTGTCTCACGCGCCAGGCGTATTGATGGGTGTCTCATACAAGATGTATTAGCAGTCCTCGTGCACTCGCCGGAGCGCACGATATTTTAGTAAAGCGCTCAAACTTTTTGACCATAATTGGAAATTAAATTTTTTATACGTTTTTGTATGTTTAAAAAATAAATATTAAAATGGTAATTTAAAAATTAAGATGACATAATATTTTGTAATTTTTAAATATTTTGAATTGGTGGTTCAGCGCACGGGCGCACTTAAGGTACAGCCGCCACTGCTGGCGGGGATAACTTATTAAATGACGATTGATCAGTTATCGACCGGAGATGAAAAATGATTAAATTACTAAAATAGCTATTAAAAAATAAGGGTTGATCGTAGAAGGGTGAAAATTTAGGATTGTATGTATTTTTGTACGTTGTATCATAAAAAAATAGTAATTAAAAATGTTGTCTAAAAAATAAAAAAAAAAAATTTAGGGGTGGACTACCCCTAACATTTAGGGGGATGAAAAATAGATGTTGGCCGATTCTCATAGCTACCGAATAAGCACAAAAAAATTCATCAAAATCGGTCAGGTTGTTTCGGAGGAGTATGGGCACGAAAACTGTGACACGAGAATTTTATATATTAGATTTAATTAAGGAACAGAATGTTCAATTTTCTCCAAAAAATATTGCAACCATCTATTTAATTTTTCAGTGATATTTTTTTGTTTGAAAATATTTGTCAAAAACCATTAATCCCAATTATATTTAACAAAATCATATTAAGATGTTAAACGTGTTGGTTTCCATTAATTATTCCTACACCTAAAATTATTGAGCTTACAACTACAAACCAAAATCAGGATATATAGCTTTCTGATTGTCTAACCTTCATTATGGTATTTGTATTGGACTTAGAAAGAAATGTATGAACAGTTTTAACACAGTAGATAGTACATATTCTTATGTCTGACTTATATCACTGCCATTTTACTGCAAATTATTTATTGCATTCATATATGCTCACAAATTTAGCAATTTATCATATCAGTAGGGTTTAATTGTATGGTTCAAACATGATTAACTCATTTCGCGTTTGCTTCCGGGGAATCAGAAATGTTACCAAATTTAAATTTTCATACCATAAGTACTTTACATGTTAAATTTATATTTTCAAATAGTTCCTGTCATAAACATAGATATATGTAAATATTTAAAAACCCACTACCATTTATTTGCCATCATAATAATGGAAGGCGGTATATAAAAGTAAGCTTTCAGTGACTGCTATCAAGTAAAATATGTATAACTGGCGCCATACATGTAACTGCAATAGTAAATTGAATGCAACATGACATAATTACGTTCTCTCAAAATACAAGTACTGCCTTGTCTAACGTTGATCTTAAGGACCAACAAACACAATTATTATCCTCAACGTGTGTTGTTTGATGAATACACGTTCCCTTCACGATGTAATACTTAACGTAACGATAAACACACACTTGGATAATAGTGATGTAAAACAAATGATTATTTGACATTCGTTAGGGTTGAATACTGTAAGATTTAATATTGTATATTTAATAAATAGAAATGAGTCAGTGGTGGCCTTGTGGTTAAAAAGCCCGTCTCTCATGCATGAGGACGCGGCTTCGATCCTGGCAAGTACCAGTGTGTTTTTTCCGAGTCATATGTACTTTCTAAGAGTATTTAGACATCACTGATTAATGCTGATTCCCAAAGAGAGTTGATGTCAGGCAGGCGGCCGTTAGTAAAAACAAATAGCCAAAACTATTCACAACATGTAAGGCAGACCCCAGCTAAAGCTGAGAAATTGCCAGGTAGAAGAAGAAGATTTAATAAATAGATACGATAAATCATCATTTGTTATCAGTAACCCAAGATATTTAACCGGTATTCAAAGATTACGTGGAGAGGGCTATTTTATGACAAATGGACTTCCTAATAAGCTGAATCTTTCATCTCAACTAATAATTGTAGCTGGGATGGGCTGTTACTATAAACTGTTTTATTAGGGCCCACTAAATTAGTGTAATAATTCCTTTCATCAAAAGATGGGCTTGAAGTAATTATTTAAACAAAGTTCTTTAATCAGCATGAGTAATAGTGTCACGACATCATAACTTTATCCCTAGAATCCTTTCTTTTCTCAATACTAATCTTCTAAATATCATAATATTATCCGGGATAAAAACAACCAAAGCTTTTTCTTTCTATACCAAAACATGAACAAAGATATTTCTACGATGCGAACTAAATACGTTACTTAATTTTACACCCTCTTATGATGTAAATGATTAATGAATTAAACTAAAATCTTAAGCAAATATATTTAGAATAAGTTTTCTCTCAATTGCTTGGTTGTTTTATTTCACTTAAAAAACCTCCTGCGTACTATATAATTTGTAAATATATCCAGTGTTCCTATATTGTGTAACAAATATTATGCAGGACCTGTATTAACATAAAACTACCTGTTTTACAAGTTAACTAGTCCCGCTGGTTATAAAAAGTGAGAGTTGAAATATATCTTGTTTATCCTGATTTTGTTATATAATAATTGTCAACATAATTTGAAAAAATTCTATGAAGGAGTTAGGTTTAAGTTTTAAGCTGTTAAATACTCTTAATTTATAAACATTTGTTTTATAGTAATGAGATATGAACGGGATATGGTCAAGCTGATGTTATAACATGTAATTTCTACCAAGTGAAGATATTTATGATTTGTGAAAAGTAAAATAACAAGAAAATAACTTAAAGTATGTTGGAGGATATTAAAAATCGTTCTTTGCTTAGAACTTCAAACAAAAAAAGCAATTCGCTTGGAAAAACAAAATATTAAAGCTACTCCGTGAAAATTAATTCTTAATATTTAACCTCCATATTGTTCAACATATATAGCTATCTTTAATGACAATTTTATGCCAATGGACTCATTGGCTAACCTACCACTCGCATATAACGAATATTATATTCAAAGTATAAAAACCGCTGACATATTTCATCTTTAAAACGTAATTAGGTAAACAATGCAATGACATATTACTTCCCCAATCTCTTACTGATAGATCTCGATAGTTTAAGCTGCTCAAGTCGAAAGACATACACACTATTATTTTCCCCATCTCTAAATTGAACAATATACGAATACATACGTGAACCTGTTGCTATGAATTTTGAGACATTAAAAAAAACATAAGTTTCTATTAATGAAAAATGAATGAAAACATTAATTAAGGTCAAGATTTTTAATTTTTAACTGGATATTTCGAACATTTAGTCTTACAGACCATGCATATCCACGTTGGTTCCTCCGTGGTCGTGGTGGGCGCTGGTGTGGTTGTTGTGGTCGTGGTCGTTGTTTTTGGTTTGCAGAAATAGTACGGATCGAAGTGGTATGGTATTTCATGGTGGTAACTGTGGTGCTCAATGTACGGTGGATCATCTACGTAGATCAGGGATGACGCATCTGTTAACATTTCACAACTATTTCAAATATTCATATGGGATATACAGAAAGTAATAATTATGAATATCATATAAAATAAAGTTACTAATACAGTTTACTATAATAAATTACTTGTTCAATACACATGTCATGCAGAATTATTTAATGTATGTTTGTTTTCTAGTTTGATTGTGAATAATTTAACCGAACTTAAATGTAATTACATACTCTAATGTGAACAGTTCCTTGTACCTATTTCATTTCGATAAAAGTAAAATTTGATAGAAGATGAATATAATTAATATATTTATTATATTTTATTCTCATTCCACTGACACTACGAGATATTTAAGGGAACAATCCATTCACGGAAACATAATGCAGAAAACAAAAAAAAAGTTAAACCAATCACCAATGTGACAAATCACAGGATTCAGTGTTTACAAAAAATACTCTGACTTCCTTAAAAAATATTTTCGTTCACGCTATTCCATTAAAGCCTCTTTATCCCTTGACTAACAGTCCTAAGGGGCAAGGAAAATAATAACAGAAAGTTGGTAACGGAAAATTGGTTTTAGGAAATCTGGTAACAATAATCGACGTCACAGAAAATTCACAATGTAGTATATTATTTCTAATTTAAAATACTATTCAGATAGATTCATACACTTTCAAACTGTAGTCAAGAATAGAAATAGCAATCTCATAGTTCGTGCTAAGATCTTAATTTTTAATATATTTTACTAAGATATAATTTAAAGTTATTGTATTATTATTTTCCACTAGTTTTTGCCCGCGACTTCGTCCGCGTTAATTTCGACATTAGTAATATATGCATAGTTGACCAGGCGAACTCTATTCCGTCTTAAATAACCAGGTTTTTGGTATTGGTATTTATTAAAATTTTCCTGTTAGTTGTCAAATCTAATGTCAAAAAAAACGTTTGTATGGGAAATTGAAAAGGGCTGTTTTTATGGTTTTCCCAGTAATGAATCAATTTTTTCAGCTTTTATACCTTCCCTGAACCTCCACGAACATTTCAAGACTAAGATAAGATAAATCCGTTCAGCTGTTCTCGAGTTTTAGCGAGACTAAGGAACAGTTATCCATTTTTATATATATAGAAGATTTTAGTAAAGGTTATATTATGTCAAAGTTAAAAAAAAACCTAAACATGTACTATAACCTCTTAGAACGTGTTCAGTAAACATAACATTGTTCATTTTAATTTTTATTTGATATAGCGAAATAAAAAATATTAATAATGATATTCTAAGAAGACTTCGAATTATTATTCATCACAGCTTGAGGTGTACCGAACCCATAAAAATATAAAATTAATCAGATGTTGATAAAATCGTACTTACCATCGTCTCGCCGCCGAGGTGAACAATATAATGGGCATACTTTGATACAAAATAATAAGGGCTCCTTTTCTGAAAATTATAAATGAATAGTGATGTATAGTAACAAAAAACTATGTTTTTGTTCATTCTGTGAATGTATCTATGTAATAACAATTAAATAATTTTGACGGTCACTAGTTACCTACTACATATTATTTATGTACAGACAAAACTTCAAAAAGTATATGATATAAACTTTCCGATTCATTCAGCATGTAAATTCCGTTATGAAATTATTGAAACTCCATCGATGTAACTTTTAGTATGCGAACTCTCAAACAGATGCTTATAAATTATGACAATTCCATCCTCCGGATAATAACTTGCGATTTTGCTCCGGGCGGTTGGAAAACAGCAAATAGTTTCTCTATTAAATTAAATTGTGCCACTAAGTTATAGTTATTATAGTTAGTTATTAATTTTGTTTCTGAGTTTAAATTTCTATGTGTAGTTTTATTCCAAAGGTCCTTACCTTACAATTTTTGTAGTTCAATCATATATTTAATGATACAATTGTTGAAATGAATAAATACAAAATCGGCCATTGTTAATTTAATTTTATAGGGCAAATAATAATCAGAATATATTGCAATAACTTTAAAACAACGAAAATAATTTTAAATATCGTCAAAACCGATTTCAGTTTTAATAATTACCTCACAATAGTATGCGACAAGGAAAAAGTCTTTTATCATATGAGAAAAACTATCGGTCTCTAACAAACAAGAGAAACAGAGTCCAAAACTTATACAACTTTTCTGATTTTTATATAAGCATAGTATAAATACACCATTTATAATACATATATTTAAAAGAATACACTATAAAAAGCCTTATGTCATAAATTTTAATACTTATAACAAATAATTACCTCCATATAAGAAAAAAGCTCTCACTGACGCGAAAATTATAGTAAACAAAACTATATAAAAATTACGGTACATCTTATTAAATTTTGTTACAACATACGCCTTTCACTTAGAAATACTAACTTTTCTCGGTTCTCTACGCCGCGCTTTATACAATGGCACTTGCTTAGTTATGTGCTTATTACGTGACATCATAGCCACTGATGGCATTCGTAATATTATGTAGATAATTTAATTTTTTATTTCTCATCTTGTTGGTTCAAAGTTAAATTTCGTACTCTTTCTCAACCTAGCAACATTTCAGATCTTTTTATCAGATTAAAAACGGTTTGCCATTAAATATACGTCTCGCTTTCAAAAGTATTAAAACTGCATGTTTTTATATTCAAAATATTTTGTAACAAAATACTCAAACTTTCGACAAATAAATTTTACAACATAAAATCTAATAAATATATTATAGAATGGTATGAAAATAAAATCATCTAATGTTTATTACAATGAGGTATGACTATATTAAACATGTAATAAAAACCGATTCTCTTAAACTGGGTAATATTGGTCAGAATTTATGCACTGACCACGATGTTCAAAACTTAATATGTCTCTGCGTTATATAATATATAAGTTGCACTCAGTATTACGGTACGAAAAATTCTATAATTTTGATATTTATTACAAGAATTTTTATCAACTTCCTGCTTTCACGATATAATTTAGTTGTTATTTTACTTGTCTATTTACATCTGTTAATCTTCTTAAATTCATAAAATGTTTCTATGAATATTCGTTTTTCATATCTTTATTACTATTTGTATAGTATATAGGATAATAACAAATTTTAAACAACACTGATGGTTTTAAATTAATAGAAACGTTTTAAATAAATTGTTATTAAAAAAATATTTTTGAAATCTCGTGTGCTGATTCACTTGATTGACTATATGCACACGAAAATATCTAAGGAACAATACATAAAAAATATTTAAATACTTTTTTATTATCTAACAACCTGATCAACCAAAGCACACATCTTCTCCATGTGAGAAAAGGCCTTTGCTTAGCAGTGGGCTCTGATAGACTGATGAATCTATTAATTTTCTCAGTTGATTCATTTGATTAACTACACGCGTACAGAATTGTCTAAACAATTATTTCTATTTATTTTTATATTATTTAACAAACTAATGGTACTATAAATTGTCTAATAACAATACAACCTCTTACTTCTTAATTACTCTCGAAAGCATTTAGTTCCCATTAATCTTCTTCTTCTATATATATAAAAATGGATTGCTGTTCCTTAGTCTCGCTAAAACTCGAGAACGGCTGAACAGATTTGGCTAATTTTAGTCTTGAAATACTCCTGGAAGTCCAGAGAAAGTTTAAAAGGTGAGAAAAATTGGAATAATTGCCGGGAAAACCCTAAAAACAGCCCTTTTCTATTTCCCATACAAACGTTTTTTTTGACATTAGATTTGACAACTAACTAATATGTCAATCATTCTGTTTGATTGAAATAGGAAAAAGCTGATTATTTATAGCCTCTAAGACGGAATAGAGTTCGCCTGGTCAGCTATACCTACATATATTACTCTTGACCAAATTAACGCGGACGTAATCGCGGGCAAAAACTAGTATATATATATATATATATATATATATATATAACTGATCTTTAAATATACCGAAATAAAAGTACACTTTTATTTTTGATTTGATAATAATATCTAATATCGATATAATAGGTTCTTCGTCGTGAAAAATTAGTTCAATGTCAATACAAAAACAATTGGAAGATTTGATTTAAAAAATTTAACCTCAAATGGTTCGTAATAACAGCAAGTGCTAAATCTAAACGAAGTCAACCACAAAGTGCACTTTATAAAACCATTTATTTCAGCTCTCAATTCCAGTTAAATGGTATGAATGAAAGTATTGGACTGATTTATCATGTATGATATAAAATTAAAATGTTTTTTTTTCAATGTTGATATTCGATACCTTTCAAGGTTTATCATCAAATTATTATTACTTTTAATCCATAATCAAAATAACCACTACAATTTATAATCTCTTGCTTTACTTTTAGAAATTCTAAAAGATACTGGAAAGAAATAAAAAAATATATATAATATACACCTTTTGTATATTCTGTACTATTATTATATAACAAACTTCGAATTTAAATAATTTTAATCTGGTTATACAAATAATCGAGTTCTTATACATAATAAGATACGCTGCAATTTCCTTTGCTATATGAAGTTTAAATGTAACATCTAGTTGGTGACATTAAAGAGTCAGGTGCTATTGGCATTATCTCTTCGCAAGATCAAGATCTTCCGGGTCAGAAATAAAACAAGCCATAGTAAATACTGGTAAGTTACACTGCAATAAAGTAAACGGAATATATATATTACTATTATACATATACATATTTTTTCTTTTTTGTTAAAGAACAATTGTTCTTATGTAATTAATGTTAATTATTACTAATAATTTTTCGGTATTATTTTTCCTAATCAAACCTTACATCATATATCCTATTGCCTTTAATCTGTCATTAAATAGAAACCTCAGTTAAAAGATTGAACATTGCCTATCTTTAAGGCCTTTAATGGTACTCAATTTCTCCGGAAGCTCAGTTCAGAAATGACTGGCGTTTTGTAAAATTTCTATACAAATGTTTATCTGTAATGAATGTCTTAAATTATAGCCTCTTTGTCGGGCTTCGTTGCCCCCTTATTCATATTTAATTGAATATTAACAAAACAATCCATTAAAATATGATTAATGTGAATAATCTTACAGATTTGTGTAATAATGTAGGGGATTGTATGAAACAGGTATTACTATAAAACAACTCTTACGAGAAAATTGGAAACAGACTTACGATAAAATTGATCTTGTATGAAAATTAATGTTGATATATTGGAATTAATAAATCTTAGTACGAGATATCAAAAACTGATTTTTAAAGATGCTGTTGGTAATAATTGTTTATTTTTTTTAACATACAAAAATTAATCATTACATGTATGTAACATAAACTGTGACATAAATTTTAGAACAGTCGGTATGAATGTGACAAATGCTAGGAAATGGTGAGAGTAACTTATTACATTTGTTAGTCACGTTACTTCCTGTTGTTAGTTCGTAGTGTGACTATTTATGTTCTATTGTTACGAGGTAATATTTAATTTAACTGGGCTTTGTATAATTCAAGACCAAATATTTTTCGTTAATCGTTACGTATCAACACCTTGAAATGATTGAATGTCATAATGACAGTTTGTACTCAATTTCGAAACAAAATTACTCTTAGTTAAATCAAATAAAGATTAGATTCACTGAAAACTGTGCAGCTTTCAATAGCTATATTAAATGATTCAGAGTTTTTATTCTTAGTTGTTTCGTCAGCGTTGATAAAGTATCAATATATAATCAATTACACACAATGTATTTTACATATTGACTTTTTTTAATTTTTATTGCGACCTACTTTGTGTTGATACACATACAAGGATTACCTTGTATGTGTATTAACCTTCAGACATTAAATGATTAAAAAGTAAATTGACGTATTATTTTGACCTTGGGATCGATTAGTTTACTGGAAATACCTAATATTAATTTAACCCAAAACAATTTTAAGTATAATGTTAAAGTTATTTCATAACACATATTTGAAAGCATGTACATATAAGTCTATTAATAAGGTCGAGTGATTTCAGAGAGGATGCTATTAATAAAAAATCGATAAATTAATTATTGAGACTTATTAAAAACAGGATTTCAAAACGGTTATTAAAGTAAAACTTCAGAAACAGGCGATATTAGTTTATATAATATTACATGAAACCATTTAATGTTACCCTCGATAGAAACTTTGATATTAAACAAATTTTTCATCTATCGAAAACATATTTATTAGCGTAATAATGCAAAATCCTTTCAATCAATCAATTGATTTATTGATTAAATACTAAGAAAAGTATTTCAAACTTTTTTTGTATAAAAATACTCCTTAAGTGAAACTACGATGTTACCGAAATAAAACATTATGAATAGATTTTCACTTCTAATATTATAATGTATAACACAAACTATTATTGTGTAATTAAACTTCCTAACATATTCCAAGTATGTCATATCTACTTATAGTAATTAAAATTAGGTCAAGAAGACGTATTAAATTTTTAAATAAAAAAAATAAGTTTATTTACCTCAAGAAAATGTTATATTTGTCATAAAAAATATTTTAATATTAAACAACCAAAAATATATATTTTGATGTCGATTAAAACATGACAAGGCCCATAGTATCAAAATTTATCAGGATTGAAAATACATTATGTTCTATACCTCCGTTATCATATTTTTTCAATCGGTCTATTCATCAATATCTTACAAATCTATCTACCATAATCACAAAATCGAATCTTAATTTTAAAAGTATTATTTCATTTCACTGTTTCATTATTATATATAATTTACAATAAAAAAAGTATTTTAAGTAGTAATTGTCTTACACATAACTAGACTTGATGTATTAGGACTACCTTTTCAGGCATATGCTATATATAGTATTCTTATTCTTAAATTGTAAGTGTTATTTTCACATAACACTCGGTATTTATTAGAGTATTGGAGGTATTTTCCAATGAAATGTTCCAACTGTCAATACAATTTCAGACAGCATGTACAGACTGACATTTCACTAATGAGAAATTCGTTCACTCAGTATAATTCTTATTTTCCTCTTTTGTTTCCTTTCACTGCAAGTACAGTTTGTCATTTAGCATTATTTGCTGTTAGTTTCAAGACCTAAATAAAATATAAAATGAGTTGTCATATTTTATTTGCTATCAAAATTAATAAAAAAGAATAATTATATAAAAAATACATTCAAATGTATATATAAAGATTATAGTTTGTTGGTAACTCTTTCTATCGTTGAACAACTAAATTTAATCAAATTTGATCTCAATTGAAATAAGGCCTTGACAAGAATAAACCCTCTAAAGTTTCTCGTTGAACCTTAAAGCGTATAATTTAAATCAAATAGTTTAATAAGTATTTCATATAATTAATTTTATATTAAACCATGAAGTGGTCTCATTTGATTTACGATTGATTACTTGATAGATCAATTTATTCGTTTGTAAGTCACTAGCTAGCATGCTTTGATTTTGTCTTAATATTGT